CCGCGCCTGACAGACAGACAGTCAGATAATTATGCCCGTAACTGGGCGTCTAACTGATATCGTCTGACTCTTACCAGGCGCTGCTTTATTAAATCTAATGGCCGCTGTGGTTGCTCTCCAAGGCAAAGGCGGGCGGATGAACGGGGGGGAAGTGTTATGGCTGTTTTGGCATTACAATAAATAACAAACAGAGACCCGGAACACGTAGCCCCCCTCCCCCCACTGCCAAGGCTCCCCCAGTTAATAGTTGCTCTGTGCACCATTATATAAACATGACTTTGACTCTGTGTCTCGGAGATGGAATCGGATCCGGCTGCGTTGCTGCTCCCAGTGCCCGAATTGACTTTAGTTTATATTCTTGTTGTAGGCTCCACAGCGCCAATTGTGTTGCTCTTCTATGTGTGTGTGTGTGTGTGTGTTTTTTTTTTTGGCACAGATAATCAGGCAGTCAGCCAGCTGAATGTTTATGCCTCTGACTGTGTTTGTACATTGTATCAGCCTGGCCACATTTTCAATATACACACGCGCTCTTGGCATTGGGGCTAAGCTCAACATCAAAGCCGCCCGCCAGTCGCCAAGGACCTGCGGACGAGGACGCGCCAGCAAGAAGAAGAGCTTGTGGCACACGCAGAGATTTTGCCAGCACAGAACTCACGAATGCGTATAACCGTTGAATATATGATAAATGCAAAAAAGGGGCGCTAATATAAAAACGCGAAACGCGTTCAACATAATGCCAAAACACAAACACAATACGATGACTAGCAAGTTGTGTTTCATATATAAATAAGTCTGAGCACATTAAATAGCCTGTATATAAGCAGGAAGAGAAATTACAAATAAGCAACGGAAAACTGCAGAGCAAAACTCGAAGCTGAGTCAGTTTTTCTGCATTTGAATATGGGCCGAGAATATGGGAAAGTTTTTAAAAATATTCAATATAAGGTATCTAACATATTTAAACATATAAAACACAGCATAATTTGATTATATTTATATAACTCTTAATATCCGATAGTTGAATAGAAGAAAATGAAGCTTTATCATGCTTTTGATTGTTATCAGAAAAAGATCGTAATTACTCAGAAACATCTCAAAAGTATTTAGTTATAAGAAAAACGATTGTATAATATAATGTTTGATGAAACTTTTTCTTAGACAATTTAGATATTGGAAGAGTCTGTAGGGTTTCTTCTTTTGATGGTATAAATTGAAGAAATTTTGATTTTTGATCAGCATTTAGCAGATATTGAGGCAACTCGATAGGGAAATGTCTAACTAGAATCTTAGGCTCATGCTCAAATGGAAGACCGACAACTGTTCAAGCTCTTTGAGCAAGTTATTTCAAATATTTCGAATACTTGACAATGTAACATGCGGAAATTATGCATAATATGGTCTATTAAGGAACTGGGAGCAAACTTAAAGGCTTTAATAAAAATGTAGCTAGAAAAACTCGTTTTTTTATACCTATAAGCTTGCTTGCTTGAATACTGTTTGCTTTAATTCAAAAATATTCTAAATATTCTCTCAAATTCGCCAGTCAATAAATATTTCAATAATTACTTTAAAATAGACCACAAATTCCAAGAAGTTCTCTTAAAGCACATTCACGAATCTTTGCCATATTCGAACAATGCGCCTGGTTCTAAGATTTTAAGAACCTGCTGATAAATTGACAGGGGCTGCTGCGAGTTACCCAAATGGGAATGACGACGCCTGGGAATTGTGTGCTTCGATGATAAGAAGAAATTGTGAGCTTGAGAGCGTTTTATTATTTTTATTATTTTGCTTCTATTGTTTTCTTTTGGCCAAAATGATTTTTATAATATATTATTTACGCTGTTTCAGCTGTCAATTGGCATTAGGCCATAATAATTTATTGATAAACAAAATGGAAAGCTAAGCGGCTTTGCAGCTTGCAATTGTCGGGGCCATTTAAATGTCTAATTGTGCGTGATGTGGGATGGGGGAATATGGGAGGGGGGGGGGGGGGGAGGAGGGTGTGCGCAATTAACCTGGCCCAAAGCTAACCGCGCTCACTTTGAGGCTAATGCAACTCGCAAACATACACACGCACACACACAGAATATGTTCGCGCACAACCAAAGCACACACACACTCGGACGACCGCGAAACGTAAGCACTTGAGAACGTAAACCAAAATACCGTTAGTTGCGTTAAGCGTGACGTAAGCGTAAGCGTGCGCTGCCTTTGGCGTGCTGCCTTCAACTGATTGTGGCAAATTATGAATCTGAATGATGCTGCCTCAGCTGCTGTCGCTGCCGTCGCTGCTGCTGCCGCCGCTGCTGCTGCTGCCAGCAATATTCGTGGCAAAGCTTTAGCACTTACTTCATTTCATTTTTCGGAGTCGCGTCTCGTTTCGGTGCATGCAACTCGTGGCACTGGGGCACTAGCACAGCCGTCCACGGCGCATGCCTCGTGAGCGGCGTAGTAGAGAGAGGGCCAGCGAAGAAAGTGGGGCATAGAGAGGGGGCTGGGTGGTAGGGGTAAATGTGTGCCATATATATGCCATATGCCATATATGTATGTTTGTCAAGGAATGCATATTACACGTAAATATTTTTCAGAAATTAACTAAAAGAAGTCTAAAGGAAATTCGAAAGGATGCGTAGTCTATATATGTATAAATTTTTTTATATATATATAAATTGATCTATATCATTTGCTTATACCCTGTAGTATAGGTAAGTGTATGCCATATATATGCCATATATGTATGTATGTCGTGGAATGCAAATTACACGTAAATATTTTTCAGAAATTAGCTTAAAAAACGTTGAAGAAATTTTAAAAAGACTCGTAGTCTATATATAGTATATGTATATTTATCTATATATATATAAATTGATCTATATCATTTGCATATACCCTGTACTATTGGTAAGTGTATGCCATATATATGCCATATGCCATATATATATATATAAATTATTTTCAGAAATTAGCTTAAAAAACTCAGGAGGAATTTTGAGGGGTTGCTTAGTCAATATATGTATAATTATCTATATATATATATAAAAATATATACATAAATTGATGTATATCATTTGCTTATACCCTGTAAATTGTATCAGACTTTTATATTCGTCACTCGTTTTTGCCATTCTGGCCCACTGTGCGCTCTGATTGCAAGCTGTGCCCATTTCGGAGTAAACAACCAGGGCTGCTTGAGCTACACACACTATCACACACACACACACACTAACACACACACACACGCTAACACACTCACACACTTACACACACACATTCGTCACACACACACACACATTCGTCACACACACTCAGTGGCAGCGTCGTAAAAACTGTCGTTGAAGTTTGCGCTCAGTTTGAATTGTGTTTGGGTTTAAAAACGCATCAAATTTGACATTTTAAATGTCAATTGTTTGCCCGACAATGTGTTCAACTCAGCTCGCATAGCTAGTCATCAATTGAAATGGCAAAGAGTTTTCTAAATTTGCTCATGGTTAAGTCCTTAAGCAGTCTAAACAAGTTGTTGTCTTTAAGCTCTGCTCGAATTTTAATTAAATTCAAGAATTTTAATGCTCCTTAGCCATAATTAAATAGCCGAGTAACCCGGCGCCTTGCAATCTAACAGGGGGAAAGCTTTGCGAATTAAAGCTGCTTGATTTAATAACTTGGCTAAATATTTCATATTAAGTTTTTGATTCAAGAAGTCGCATTTAAGTTATGCCAAAACAATTTTGTATTTGGGCAACGAAATTTCAACTACAGTTTCGATTGGATTAAAGTAAAATATTCCTTATTGAATTGCCAAATACAACTGAATAAATTAATATTTTTGGTTGCCAGCAAAAAATGTCGACAATTGTAATTTAAAACGCAGTTGTTGCACAGATTAACAAATATTTGGTTGCAAGCATATGAAATTCAATTGAAATTCAAGAATCGCATTCAATCGCAATAAATGGCACTCACGACAGCAAACAAAATACAATTTATTGGGCCAGAGTTCAGTCAATTGTGTGCGAATGAAACGCAATATTAATAATAATAAAGTTTTTAATACTCTTGTCCACAAATGTGCGAACTGGCCAAAATGAGAAGGACGTACAAGAGGTGCGCCTGGCGGCAGCGAGAAGATGAGAGAGTAGCTGAAAAGATTTACGAGCTGGTCGAGCACCGGGGAATGCGCATAAATAAATTTCGATGACAATAATGAGTGCGTCAATTATTAATGCTGGACGTCAGTTTCGCAATTATAAGCGATCGATATGACACTTCAGCGAGAAAGCACATATACAAAATATATAAACCGTCTGTCCTGATTGATTGGTACTCCCGGAGCAGATTGGATGGTCTAATTTTTAGTTCATGGCTTGAAGTCCTGAGAATCGCATAGAAAGGCTATATTTAGTTGGACGTATTTTACCATTCGTTCAGCTACATATTGCCTTTCTTATGCTTATGCTTTTACGAATGGTAAAATACGTTCAATTAAATACAGCCTTTCTATGCGATTCTCATGAACTCAAGCCAGTGTTTATATTAACAACTTGTTACAAGTATCGTATTTTATTTAGTTTTTCATCTTCTGCTCTCATAAAGTGTGATAAAATCTGAACAAATGTTCTATTTTTCGCAAATGTTCACAATTATTGCTGTTTTTATTAATAGTTGAGACTGCTTCTTTGGTTGAGAAACTCATCTGAATGGGATCCATTCTGCAACGCATTGAGGCCCGCTTGGCCAAATCTGTCAGAATAGTTCCATTGGTGCTTCAACATTATTAATAACTTCTTAAGCGTTTCGTTCCACTATTTATCGCCAGCTAAATGCATTTGTTATGGTTGTTAACTAGTTCAGACAACTGTGTCGTTGGATATGTGATAAAAAAACGAACGAAATGCTTCATGGAAAGCCTTTGATCAGCCGATCTGCTCTAGCAACCCTTTAATTTTGCTATGTTAGGATCAAGTTGACCTTTTTATTTATATTCGGAGCTTTTTGAAATGTTTAATAATTCGCCGATGTCCACTTTTATTGTCGTTCTTTTAATATCAACCGAAATTCCAAGCCCAATCAAAGACAGCTTGCATTGTACCAGGAATGCATTTCTTCGTGGGCTTTCTGGTTGTTGTTGTTGTTGTTGTTAATGGCCCGGCAATATCATCGTCATCTTCTTTTACTAGACCGCAGTCGCCATTGTCGGTGCCAGGCCGGCAAAGATTCTTGTATTGCCTGTCGGTGCCGCAACCGCATAAATCGCCGGCCGTTTTCCCGATGCGATATACGTATTGTCCCTTCTGCTTACCGCAGCCATATATACAGACCATCAATTGGTATTTCCAAGGGCCCTCGTGGAAGTTGGCCATGGCACAGCCGACACGACTATTTGCACCGACAATAAGTTGCAGAAAGTGTGATATTTCCTGACTGAAATTGAAATTCTATATATATATATTTGTTAGATTTGAAATGAATTCGTTTCATACTCACCCGCCGGGCGATTCGCCCGTCACGAGGCTATCTAGGTTAACATAATAGTACTGATCAAACCAGGCCTTTAAATGGGAGTTAAGTATTTTGAGTACGTCTTGCGGCTGGTGCTTGGGATATTTGCTGTATACCGCATTGTAGCCTGGCCTTGAGGCCAGTGTCGTTGACAAACTCATATCAATGGGCTCTATCATGCAGCGCCTCACGGCCAGCTTGGCCAAATCAGCCAAGATGGGATCCCAGCCGACTAGCATCATGCGTCCCGCAACCGGCAGCCTTGCCATGTTGCCCTTTGCCACCATGTTGCGATAGACATTATGTTGCCTAACAATGCGCTTAATTAATGCCGGCGTCATCTCAATTATTTTTCGTGGTCTTCTGCATTTATCGCCCCACTCCTGAACATTAAATGAAACTGATCTCTAAACCGAAAAAAATAGTGTCTCATTTTACTCACTTCGTCGCTCTCGCAGGCGAAATGCGGTTGACGTTCCAAACAATAGTCGGGCGCTTCAAGTTTATTCAATTTCTTCAAGCAAGAATTTGGCATTGCGGTTATCCTGGCCAGGCCGAGGATCACAGCGAAAAGCAACAACAGATTTTGCCGCTGCATCGCAGAATATTTTATTGGACTGCAACTCAGGAGGGTTGAGCTATTTATAAATAACAAGATGCTTTGCAGTCGTTATGACAGCTAAATGCATTTGTTATGGTTGTTAATTGGATCAGGCAATTTTATCGTTAGATATGTGATACAAAAAACAAACGAAATGCTTTGATCAGCCGATCTATTCTAGCAACCCTTTAACTTTGCTATACAAGGATAATGTTGGCCTTTTTATACCCTGAACCCATTGAAAATGGGTAAAAAGGGTATTATGTATTTGTGCAAATGTATGGAACCGGCAGAAGGAAGCATCTCCAATAGCCGAGTCGATCTATCCATGTCCGTCTGTCTTTCCGTCCGTCCGTCTGTCCGCATGTATGAACGCAAGGATCTCAGAACCTATAAGAGCTAGAGACTTGAAATTTGAGCTGTAGGTCCTCCTAGTCTCCGCGCAGACCGAGTTTGTTTCCCATATTCGATAACTTGCCCCGTTTCCAAGTTATCGATAAAAATCGATATCGAAATTCGGTTTTTTGAGCAATTTCGGCAAATAATATAGAGCTAGAGCTAGAGTCACCAAACTTGACATGTAGCTTCTAGAATAGTGTATATATATCAAGTATCTTTCATTTCATACCTATCGCCTGTTGGAAGAACAGGGTTCAGGGTATCCCCTAGTCGGGAGCGCCCGACTAGAACCTCTTACTTGTTATTTATTATTTACTTATTTATTATACAAATTCTGATCTGGCTGTCAAGTATCCTTTAGCCTTTCAGTCACAGTGAAATGTTAAATAATTCGCAGCTTTCCACATTTATCATCGTTCTTTTATATTACACATTATTTGTATTTACAATTGAGTGAAACTTTTCTTCTAACCAAATATCCAATCAAGGATGCTACCCATGCTACCCGGCCTGCATTGCTTTTTTGGCTTTTTGGTAGTTGTTGTTGTTGTTGTTTTTGATGGCCCGAATATGCCATAATCATAATCATATTCATCGTCTGTTTCTTCCACCACTTCTTTTTTTCTTTTCATACTGCAATCTACCTTGTCGCTTTCAAGATAGCAAAGATTCCTGAAGTCCTTTTCCGTGCCGCACGTGCATGATTCGCCGGGGACTTTTCCGATACTATAAACGTATTCGCCCCTTCGCTTACCGCAGCCATATAGACAGATCAGCAATTGGTTTTTCCATGAGCCCGTGTGGAAGCTGGCCATGGCACAGCCCACACGACTATTTTCACCGTTCATAAGTTGCAGAAAGTGTGAAATTTCCCGACTGCATTCGGAGTGAAATTAAAAGTCTATATTTGTTAGCTGATTGAATCCGTTTCATACTCACCCGCCGGAAGATTTACCCGTCCGCAGGCTTTTCATGTTAGCATACCTGTACTGATCGTACCAGGCCCTTAAATGGGAGTCAAGTATTTTGCGCTTGTCTTGTTCCTGATTCTTGGGATATTTGCTGAAGGCCGCATTGTAGCCTGGCCTTGATGCGTATGTGGTTGAGAAACTCATCCTGATGGGATCTATTTCGCAGCGCATCACGGCCAGCTCGGCCAAGCCGGCCAGAACACGATCCCAGCCCATTGTCAACATGCGTCCCGCAACCGGCAGCCCTGCCATGTTGCCCTTTGCCACCATGTTGCGATAGACATTATGTTGCCTTACAATGCGCCTTCTTAAGCCGAACGTCATTTTAATAATACTTCGCGGCTCACCGCACTTTTTGCCCCACCTCTGAACATTTAAATGCAAGAGAGAACAGATCTATAAGGTGAACAAATCTAGGCCAGTTTAGGTAACTCACTTTCGCGTTATCGCAGCCCAAATGCGGTTGACTTGGTTCCTCACAATAGTCGGGCTCCGTATATTTCCCAGTTGTATAAAAGCAAGAACTTGGCATTGCGGTTATCCTGGCCAGGCCAAGGATCACAGCGGAAACCAACAACAGATGCTGCCGCTGCATCGCGGAACATTTTATTGGACTAGAGCTCAGGAGGCTAAAATTATTTATAAATAACAATATGCTTTGCAGCCAAATGCATTCGCTATGGATTCTTTATGCCTTTTAGACATAACTCGCCAGTTTACCAAGTTTTATATAACCTATCATAAGCATGAAACATTTGTAGAACTCGCTTTTAGATCTAATATCATGCAACAGTTCATTTTAAATTCAGTTCAGTTGCCTCTTTGAGAGCGGTCGATAAAGTTGAACATTTGCCATATTGTTTACGTTGTGAACAGAAAATCAACTAATTGTGAACCATTATCAAATAGCCACAGTCAGCGTAGATAAGTCTTTGGAATAGATAAGCTAACTTCCAATCTTTTCTAAAGGGTGGTTCTTAAAGTTCTGCGTGCTGGTAAAAAGTTCCATAATTGATTACCTTTTAATAGCTAGAAAGCGTGCACTTAAATTACATAAAGTTCTTAACATATGTTAATTCAAGCCTCTCAATGTTATTAACAGCGCGCGGCTGAAGCTCTGTTACGTTACATATTAAGCTAATGTTAACGAATGCAACAGTCTTAAAGCCTCTCAATGTTATTAACAGCGCGCAGCTGAAGCTTCGTTACTTAACATATTAAGCGAATGTTAACGAATGCTACAGTTTTGCAAAACTTTTGAAGCAGCCCACGCAGCAAATATTCATGAGTAAACAACGACCCAACTTGAATCAATGAATAAGCACCTGGTCTCATAAAATATGCATTAGCATTCCTTTAGTTTAATATATATATGTATATAAATATAGAAAAAATTAACACAGACTTAAGTATTGGGCCTTGTCTAGTCGTAAAAGACAGGTTCTTAGTGCAGGTTCTCCTGGCGATTGGGTTCGATGGTGACACGGGCATAGGGACTGCCGGCGCCCACTTTGCGTCGCATTGTGACGCCTCGATGCGGTCGCAGGCCCATCACAATTAGATAAACGCCCGCGGCACAGACTCCAATTAGGCCCAAGATGATCAATCCGTACGCCCATCTGGGCCATCTTTCGCAGCTAAACTCATCCTCACGCACCGAAGAGACGAGCATGCCGCGCACTCGAGCGGGTCGCAGGCAACGTCCGTTCGTCTGTATGGCCAGATCCTTGAGCCAGGCTAGCTGGCAGTCGCAGTGAAGCGGCACACCATTGAGATCCAACTGGGTAAGTTGCCTAAAAACCGGTGACAAAGTGACATTAAAATTGCGCAGCAAAGTGCCACGAAAACTCAAGATGTGCAGCGGCGGCAGCATCGATTCGCCATTCTCCAGTGTAAAGGCATCGCCATCCAGCCAGCCAAGCCGGCGGCTATTCTGGAAGCTCATCTCCTCGATTTCGCGCAGCGGGGCGAACGCGTGTGCCGCGATCCCTTGCAGCAGGGGCATATCCTCCACATATAGCTGACGCAGCTGGGTCAGATTGGCCGCATCCTGTGGCAGCAGCCGCTCCAGCAAATTCTCGCTTATGTCGAGACGCTGCAGCGCCGCGGGCAGCTGGCCGGGCACACGCTGGAAGAGATTGCGACGCAGCGAGAGTTCCCGCAATGGTGCTTCGATCGGCAGCTTCAGTTCGCTCAGATTGCACGCATCCAGACGCAGTGTGTCCAGCTTCGGATTAATGCCATAGCTGCTGTACAGCTCCTGGCCGTTGGTCTGGTTCAGCTGCCTGTTCCAGGACAGCTCCAAGGTGCTCAGCACCAGCAGCGGCGCAAAGATCTGGCCGGGCAGCGAGTGCAGATTGTTGTGCGCCAAGTTGAGCACCTGCAGGTGCGGCAGCCCGGCAAACGATTGCGCCTCCAGCTGCTGTATGCTGTTCCAGCCCAGATACAGTTCCCGCAGGCTGGCCACACGCTCGAAATTGCTCGACGCAATGGCGCTTATGTTGTTGTGCATCAGATTGAGCAGACGCAGGCTGTCGCTATTGAAGCTGGGCGCACGATTCAGCTTGTTCCACGACAGATCCAAGGTGTCGATATATAAGGGCAGCAACTCGGTTAGATCCTCCGTCTTGTAGTCCTTGTAGCTGCAATCAATGTGCAGGGCACGCATGCCCCACGGCGCGGCACTCACATTGCTGCACTCGCACGAGAGACGCGTATTGCGATGCGCGGCGGGATAGCAAAAACGATCCACCTCCTCATCGTTGGCATCGATGCGCTCCGGCCTGGATGAACCCACCAGCAGCAGGAGCAGGAGCAGCAGTAGTTTTGGGCTGAGGGCAAAGTTCACTCTGGGCGTCATTCTTTGTCATGGAGTTTGGATTTGTTCCGTTTTGGCTAGCACACTGCACAAGAGCCAACGATTCGCTATTGAATTCTTTTGCTGCGACACTGCGACTCGATATGGCAGATAGGGGCTTATCTTATCGCTGGAAATGAAAAGCTCGATGGTTTCGGAGTGAGCAACTGCTGAGGCACAATGAGAAGCAAGCACGAACTGTGCTCAAACGATGAATAACGCAAAGCTAAACAGTTTTTGTGAATTGGGGAAACCATTTTTGGGCGAACTAGTTCTTTAGTTCACTTCGGTATGTGTCAGTGTTTTATTTGGGAGAATTCGCGAACTATTTTGGGTTTGGTTATTAGCAAAAAACCAGTTGGAACTTTCATTTCGGTTCGGTTCACGTTCGTTATTATTATTATTACTATTATTATTACAATTATTATTATTATTATTATTATCATAATTATAATTATAATCATTATCATTATCATTATCATTATCATTATCATTATCATTATCATTATCATTATCATTATCATTATCATTATCATTATCATTATCATTATCATTATCATTATCATTATCATTATCATTAGCATTAGCATTAGCATTATCATTATCATTATCATTATCATTATCATTATCATTAGCATTAGCATTAGCATTATTATCATTGTTTTTATCATTATCATTATCATTATCCTTATAATTATCATTTTCATTATCATTATCAGTATTATTATTATTATAACTATTACTATTACTATTATTATATATATTACATTTCCGCATCTTTCTCCTGAACTTCCCAGCGCTCTTTCCCTTACAATTTCTCAGCATTAGCCCTTATTCAGTTGGACAGTTGCGCGACATATGCTAACATTCATTTCACACTCATTCCACTCGGCGCACTCATTCTTGCTGTAAGTCCATGAGTTGTGTTTCGTTCAGGTGTGCATTCAAATGTGCGATAAGATAAGGCGGCGAGCTTTATTTCTCTCTCACTCGCTCTCTCTCTCTCCCCCTCTTTCTATCAGTGCTTTTGTTTTGGTCACATATCATTTATCTAGTTCATTAATCATGGCCCATGCCAATACGTAAGCTCTGGACATGGGCAAACACAAAAGGTATTTCATGTGGCAACCGCTGACACACATTGAACCGCATTGAATATTGATGAAAATTGTTTGCTTGCGGCCCGAAGAAGTTAATACTCTTCGTGCTTTTCTTTCTTCTCCCTTTTTTTTTCAAATACCACCCTCAAAAGTTGGGACTAATCCCTGACAGCGATTTACACGCTGACTTGACGTTGTTTCGATCTTATCCGCAGGGATTTGTGCATTTCTGTGGAGCGTTAAATGAGCGCGAAATCAACTTAAATACTAATTACGGCGGCTACTGACGGAAATTGACTTTTCAATGCTTCGGGGCGAAAATATATAGTCCCGATATATACCCTGTATTAAGCAGAATATGGGTAGTTCATTTGTATGTAGGTAATTCATATGAGAACTAAAATGATAATAAATATTACTAAAAGTCTTTAGCAAAGGAATTTATCTTTCACTGTAAAAATGCCATAAATCTTTGGGTCCTGGTTGACTTTTCATTGTCAAATGTAATTTAATAGCTTTTCGGGCATAGCTATTAACATTTTGTCAAGAAAGCAGCCACATTTTGGTTAATTAACGCAAGAAATATTTTGATTAATGTATTTTATGAAACTCTTCCAGCTGGACATTTTCCTTTGGGGCAATGTCGCTGCTCTATGAAAGTCGAGCTGTATTTAAATTATTGTTGCCTCTGCATACATTATGCGAGTACTGTCAATGGTAAATTGATGAGGCGCGCAGCACACACACTTACACACACACACGCATGCATATGCAAAATTTACATAAATTAAAGACTTTCATGGAAAACTGTTTGCCGCTCTTGACTTTTGTGCGAAGACAGAGCATCAAATTACATGTGAAGCGAAGAGTGGGCAGGGGAAATAGGTGGGCGGAAAATTGCGCTAAGGAAAGATAGGAGGGCTGGTTTGGGGGGGGGGGGGGTGTGGCAGGGGAGGGGTGGTAGCTGGGGCGAAGAGGTAAAATGAGCACATGTAAAGCATTTAATGAGCTCTGTTGCCAGCTGCCAAGTGTGCGTGTGTGTGTGTGTGTGCATGTGAAAACATGCTGTTGTATTTCTAAAATTTTAGAATATGCCAGGCACATGTTTTAGCCTCAGCCGACAGCGCCCCGTTCGCTGTCCACGCGCCCTCGATACATTATTACAGGCAAATTTATTTTCAACTAAAAACTCATTAATTACATTGAAAAGCTGATTACGTGTGCGTGTGTGTGTGTGTGTGTGCATAACGTACATGTACTTAACGATAATTATGCACAATTTAATTAAACGCAATTTTGGCGACTCAGTGCCCTGGGATCTAATGGAATTGTTAATTACTAGGCCAAATTCGGGTTAAATTTTGAAGAGCGTGCAACAAATTTTGCACGCACGTGAAATCCATCAATTTCCGACTTTGTTTTTTTGTGGTCAGCGGGCAAAAAATTGCAAAATAAAATTCGCGCTAAACGTGCAACAGTCAAAGTACACACACCTGCTGAATATTTATGAAAATTGTAATATTAAATTGTTGCATTGCGCCAGACACGTGGCATGTGGCATGTGGCAAAAGCCAGCTGTGTCCAGGCTTAAATGCTTGAGCACCAGCGTGCAGCATGCAAATCCATGCCACAACCGGATGCATTCAGGAAATGCTAATGGAAATCGAAATGGGAAAATCATTAAAAGGCGCATTTCGTTATCCTGCAATTGACTTTAATGCCCAGCTGAATGTCAACCGACAGGCCAGTGTTGTGTAATGCGCAAGAGACACGCACACACACACACACAATACACACTAGCACACACACGCAGCTACATCAATTGTTGTGTTCGAGCTGTGCTAATTGAATCACTTGTCATGCATTTTGTCTAATAACAGCGCATTAAAATGCAAATTACAATAATGCATTGCGTGGGCGTGGCTGAGAACCGGGGGGGGGGGGGGGGGGGCGTGGATGTCTGCTGGCAACCGCATCCGTTTACCGGAAGTGGTTGTGTGTGCCACTTGCCGCACACGCTGCAATAGCAGCTGCAAGTGGCAGAAATGCCTGCATTATGCACGCGCTGTGCAGCTAGCTGCACGACTTTGCGTATAACGCTGCGTATACGTAATTTTTTTAGTGCCTGAAAGTATGCAACAAAGCGTGCAACACACAGAGAGAGCGAAAGAGAGAGGGAGAGAGAGCGAGGCAGACAGACACAAAGGTGCAGCACATTAGCTAATTGGCTTTGAAAACGTTTCTGTCATGCCCGATGACATTTTGCAGCACTCGCTCTCTCTCTTCCTCTCTTGCGCTTCTTCTATCTCGCCCTCATTTAAGGCCCTGCTTAGTTGGGCTCCGTAAGCGCATCTGTGGATATTCCTTTCAGAGAATTCCAAATGAGCTCAGCGCGCAATCAAAGCAGGCACAACAAATACACACACAGAATTGTTTATTTATATATGTATATACATATATATACACATATATATATATATATTTATAAATATATATGTATATAGTTACCTTATGTGATGAAGCTGCATGTCAAGATGGGGGTCAAAGATTTAGTGGGTGACGTTCCGAATTCAAACTCATTTCTCGGTTACAAACTCATTTTCAAAGACCTTTGAGAGAATTTATTTCATACGTGCCACGTGCAAGGCCGGGGTATACCCGCTATCATCCTCTATAGACATATGTCAAAATTTCCCACCCCCATAACTCGGTCAAATCTCATCTGATTTTCACAAGGTTTGGCTTTTTGTTCATGGTTTAACCTCTAAATCAATCGTGCATCTAAATCTGCCAACATTATTTTTGGTCGAAATTCATGTAAAAATGGTAACCTCACATGAATATCATATGAAGACATAGGTCTAAATTTCCCACCCCCATAACTCGGTCAGATCTCATCCGATTTTGACAAGGTTAGGCTCCGTTTCATGGTTTGGCCTCTAGATCAATCGTGCATCTAAATCTGGCAACATTATTTTTGGTCCAAATTCATGTGAAAATGGTACCCTCAAACATCCTATGTAGACATAGGTCTAAATTTCCCACCCCCATAACTCGGTCAAATCTCATCCGATTTTCACGAGGTTTGGCTCCTTTTACATGGTTTGGCCTCTATTTCAATCGTGCATCTAAATCTGGCAACATTATTTTTGGTCGAAATTCATGTGAAAATGGTACCTACATACATCCTATGTAGACATAGGTCTAAATTTCCCACCCCCATAACTCGGTCAAATCTCATCCGATTTTCACGAGGTTTGGCTCTTTGTTCACGGCTTGGCCTCTTAATCAATCGTGCATATAAATCTGGCAACATTATTTTTGGTCGAAATTCATGTGAAAATGGTACCCTCAAACATCCTATGTAGACATAGGTCTATATTTCCCACCCCCATAACTCGGGCAAATCTCATCCGATTTTCCCGAGGTTTGGCTCTTTGTTCACGGTTTGGCCTCTAGATCAATCGTGCATCTAAATCTGGCAACATTATTTTTGGTCCAAATTCATGTGAAAATGGTACCCTCAAACATCCTATGTAGACATAGGTCTAAATTTCCCACACCCATAACTCGGTCAAATCTCATCCGATTTTCACGAGGTTTGGCTCCTTTTACATGGTTTGGCCTCTATTTCAATCGTGCATCTAAATCTGGCAACATTATTTTTGGTCGAAATTCATGTGAAAATGGTACCTACATACATCCTATGTAGACATAGGTCTAAATTTCCCACCCCCATAACTCGGTCAAATCTCATCCGATTTTCACGAGGTTTGGCTCTTTGTTCACGGCTTGGCCTCTTAATCAATCGTGCATCTAAATCTGGCAACATTATTTTTGGTCGAAATTCATGTGAAAATGGTACCCTTAAATATCCTATATAGACATAGGACTAAATTTCCCACCCCCATAACAGAATATTAGTGGGATATAAATTATTCCTCTTTTAACTACTCATATACATAGATACATTAAATGGGAAGGTCTTTATATTAAAGATCATTACGAAGAGTTGACTTCAACACATTTAAGAATTTACATTCTCATTTTGCAAAGCAAGATTTAATCTATGATAATGTAATCAAAGATTTAATCTAAGATCTA